TGTATGTAGTAATACATTTAACAATAGTTTATAATTATGTATTAATACAATAGTTATTAGCAATATATTTATAGTTTTAGCTACAATATTCATTAATACTCTATCAAATTTAAGGTAAACCTGAGTAATATAAGTTTATATAAAGTTTTAATATGCTTTTATAAATAGCTACAACATGCATAAATATACACTTGAGCAAATTATAAAATAGAAATACAATAGATCTATAAATAAAATTTTTTATTCTTTTTTAAAAACTTTTTAATGCATGTTTTTTAGTCAAAAATAAAGATGAAAGCACTTTGTTTTGCTATACTTATAACGCTCATTTCTTCTGGTATGTAAATTTAACATCGTTTTGTAAAGTAAGTTTACATCGTTTTTATAAATATATCTAAAATGGAAGTTTATGATCATTTTTTAACTTTTTTAAAAAAAGCAGAAAGGGATCGTCCATAAATTGCTCAGCTCTTAATTCTTAATTTATTTAAAAAGCAGACGTAGGCGATCTTAAGCACTTTTACGCGGGGATTTTCATTAAACTTAATGGGCTATTTTAAACTTTTATTTAACTTAAGGCTCTGCGAGGGAAATCTTTTTTTTATTTTGTTTATTAGCGTTTCGTAATTTATCGACGATCCCAAAGTAATTTTTTGTTCTTTCTTTAAATGTTTTACAATATTAGTCGTTTTACAATTATAATAATTTCAATAATGTAATAAAATAATTACAAGATTAATTAAGTTTGTAAGAGGTAGAACACGGAATCTCGTTGAAGACCTTAAGGTCTTTTCGCCGAGAACCGTTATGTTTTTCAACTACATCGTTGCACTTATTGCATTAAATATTCTCGTCGAAAAGTAAGTTTAGTATATTCTCGTCGAAAGTAAGAGTAAATAAACGTAAAAGATATATAACATTCATATATGTAAATACAAAGAATTGAATTTTAAAAATTTTACTTAATAAAAATTAAAAATATAAGATATTTATGAAGATGTCTAGAGTAATGCTTACAATATTTCTAATAAGTTAAAGTATTGCATGTTCAGTAGAATTATTTTTTTGAATCCATAATGATTGTTGTATAATATTTTATTTATAGTTAGATTTTAGACAAAATTATTTCCAATACTTTTAAAAAAACAGGGAGAAATTGGGCGTTAGCTATTGAGTTTAGTTAGTTCACCTCCTTTAAAGATTGGAGTAACTCTAGCTATTTTGAAAGCATCTGGAAATATTGCTTGTTTAATTGAGTAACTAAAAAATTTAAAAATAATATTTTTAATGATGTCATAAGAACCAATAACAATATTTCCATTAATATCGTCGAACCGCTTTATTAAGTTTAATCATTTTGTAGGCGGATTCAAATTCTTCGAATTTTGTTTCAAAAATATTTAGAGAAGAGTTTAATGAAGAGTTAAGAATCACTTGCTAAATTAGTGACAATAGGGATACTCTTAAATAAGTTTGGTCCAACTGATACGAAGTACTTATTTATTTTGCTTGCTATTCTAATAGGATCATTTAAGAGTTTGCCATTTATTTCATAACTTTGGGCCGAGAATACATTTTTATTTTATGATTACTGATGATTTCATTTATAATTTCCTTGTTTTTTTAGAACCTTTTTTGTATTTTTCAAATAAATTGGTGAAGTATTTTTTTTTAAGTTTTTTTTTTTTGTTTTTCAAATTGTTTTGCATAAGTTTTATATAGTGTTTTATTTTCCTGTGTTTTATTTTCCATTAGGTATTTGATATACAGTTTTTGTTTTATTTTCGAGGATTTTTTTTAATCTTTTGTAATCCATGGTGATTTAATATTTTTATTTGTTTTACAAATCTCACATTTTGAAAAATTTATATCGTAAATTTCATAAAATATTTTAAAAAATGAGTTGTACATTTTGATTGGTTCAGAAGTACTAATAAGACTCCAATTTATCAAAGATAATTGCTTTTTAAATAAAAGAAAGTTATTATTGTTAATAAGTTAAAATTAAAAGCAAATTTTTTTTTTTTTTTTTTTTTTTTTTTACTTTTTTCCAGTATAATATGTACAAGGTAAATTTACATTGAATATATTATTGGTAGGACTTCCAAAAGATCACACGATCTTATCATGAAGCCCTTTACAATCTATATTAAGAGTCAAAATACATAAATTTACAAATATTTAAAACTATTTTTAAATGCGTTTATATATTATAATACTTTTTAGATGTTAAGTAAGTTTTAACAATATTTTATAATATATGTGAATATATATAGAGTTCAGATTACAATTCCTTAATTATTTTGTGGAATAGGTAATAATTTAAAAATATAAAAATCGGGATAAGAAAAGATTAGTATCGTCAGCATACATTATTGTCATTAAATTAGAAGTTTTATAGAGGTCATTAATATAAATTAGAAATAACAGTGGTCCAAGTATGGAACCCTGGGGGACTCCACAGGATATATCTAAAGCAGCAGTTTTTGAGTGTGTATCAATATGTATGAATTGTTTACGATTATTTAAGTAACTTTTTAATAACATTAAGATTTTACCAGTGATACCGTAATGTCCTAATTTATTTAATAGAATGCCGTGATCAATAGTATCAAAAGCTTTAGATAGGTCTATAAAAATACCTAAAGTAAATTGTGATTTTTCGAAGGAGTCAGTAATAATTCTTGTGAGTTGAAGCACTTGTCTCAGAAACGTAAGATCCGTGGTTCGAACCCCACCTCTGGGCAAGTTTTGCGACATCGGTTGGAAAGGAGGCGTGAACTTCCTATTAAATGCTCTTCCGCGGTGCTCTGTGATAAGACCGTAAGGACTTCTTGGAGCACCTTAATCAACTTAAAAAAAAAAAAAAAAAGTACTGCGTGTTCTGTAGAGTTATATTTTTTGAAACCGTACTGATTGTTATAAAGTATATTATTTTCAGAGAGATGATTAAAAATTCGATCAAATAAAATTCTTTCAAGAATTTTGGAAAAAACTGACAAAACCGAAATTGGACGATAATTCCCAACATTTGTTAGTTCACCACCTTTATATATAGGGGTTACTTTTGCAACCGTTATTTGGGCCGGAAAAATTCCTTGACTTATTGAACAATTAAGAACTTTAAATAGAGTATTCTTTATACTATCGTATGACTTAATAACAATGTTTCCATTTACATCATCTGGGCCAATTGCTTTATTAGGCTTAAGTATTTTAAAAGCATTTTCAAATTCTGAAAATGATAATTCAAAGGCACTTAGAAAAGAGGTTGAAGGAAATTTATAATTATTGATTGGATTTATCATATTTGGAAAGTTTTTTGAAAGATTAGGTCCAACAGAAACAAAAAAATTTATTTAGTTCATTTGCTATTTCTTTAGGATCATCTATTATTTTATCATTAATTTTAATAGCTTTAGGTAGAGAACACGATTTTAAGTTTTGTTTGCCCGTGATTTCACTTATAATTTGCCCGTGATTTCACTTATAATTTGCGTTTTGAATTGAGTTTATGTTTCTCTAGCAAATTGAAATAGTCTTTTTTTGCATTTTTTTTATTATTTTCAAATTATTTAGTATAATTTTTGTATATTGTTTTGTTTTCAATTGTTTTGGTTTTTAAGTATTTTATATAAAGTTTTTGCTTAATTTTTGAGGACTTTCTGAGGTCTTTATTAATCCACGGTGATTTAAGGCTTTTATTTGATTTAATTATTTTGATTTTCGGGAAATTTGCGTCATAGATATCATAAAATGTTTCGTAGAATGTGTTATAGACTACATTTGCTTCTAATGTAGAGTCGATATTTTTCCAGTTAAGTAGGGATAGTTGATCGTTAAATGATTCGATATTTGATTCATTGAAAAAGCGTTTGATGAAAATTTGTTTTTTTTTGTTGTATTATTTCGGTAACAAGATTTAAAGAAAAGAAAATAGGGAAGTGATCAGACACGTCATTTTTTATTATACCTATTTTAAGCGAATTGTTAAAGATATCAGTTGTTATTATGTTATCTATTACAGAAGCTGATGTTTCTGTTACTCTTGTTGGTCTGTTTATTAATGGAATAGCGCCGTTCTGAAATAAACCGTCATAAAATGTTTTTATGTTGTTATTAGTTTGATATTCAAAACAATTTAGATTTATGTCTTCAATTAAATAGTTAAGTTTTTTTCCTTTAAACCTTTTCTTAAAATATTATTAAATAAGAATGTATTGAAATTTTCTATTATGCCAGATGGCGGGCGATAACAGCAACTCAAAAGTATATTTTTGGTGTTACTGGTTTTAATCTCTATTGTTAAGACTTCGCTATTGTCATCAGAGTTACTCATGTCAGGCCTAATAATATACTGCAAATTTTCTTTTATATAAAAAAGTACACCACCGCCTCGTTTTTTTGATTTTCGTGCTAGCGGGATCATTTTAAAGCCTCCCAGGTGGAGATTTAAGTAATATTTGGGGTCATCAGAGTCACACCAAGTTTCAGTTAAGCATATTATGCTAAAAATATTTGAAGTTTCTTTTACAATGTTACAGAAGTTGTCAAAGTTTTTTTTCAAACTTCTAATATTAAGATGAACAACATTAAAGTGATCCCGTCGTAAAAATTCTTTTATTTCCTTGATATAAAAATATGAGCGTTTACTTTGCAATGCTACTGAATCATTAAAGTAATTTATGTCTGGATCTGAATCAATGTCAATAACTAAATAATTTGTTTGAAATAAATTACATGAGATTGATTCAAAATTGGTTAGGTAATTAGAATCCATTTTAATTTTTATAACTATTTATTCGAAAAAAAATTTTTTTTTTTTGAAAATCAAAAATCACGAATGATAAGTTTATTATATACTACCTTACCTTAAAAAGTTTATTATAAACTACCTTAGCAAATTTACCTTTTGATCTTAAATCGTTCGCTTCTTTAAATAGTCGTTTTCTTATTTCAATCGTTTTGTCACTAAAGTCTTCATTGATGTAAAGTTTTTCGTTCCATAGTTTTAGTTTAATAAATCGATCCAACACTGCAGTTTTATCTTTGTAATTAAAAAAACTTCGCTACAATTGTTCTACTTTTTTTTCCATCAGAAGCTTTCCTTCCCGTTCTATGGGCTCTTTCGATTTCTACATCATTTGTAAACCCAAGTTTTGATTTTAAAAATACCTGAACTTTTCTTTCATATTCTTCCCATGTCTCATTCGGTTCTTCTTCAATTCCAGTGAATCTTAAATTACTTCGCCTGCTTCGATCTTTTAATTCTGTAAGTTTATCTTCAATGTCACTATTTTTTAGGATGGTACAGTTTTCGTTTAAGCTGTCACTTTGTTTACCTACTGTGTTTGTTTTCTTTTTTTTTTCCTGCAAGTTCGATGTTAATGTTATCGTATTTTGCACTTATAAATTCAATAGTTTTTTTTAATTTGCAAGCTTCTTTTTTTATATTACTGTTTTCTTCTTGCATGCTAATTATTTTATTTTCCATTTTATCAAATTTGTCATTAAAAATTTTTAATAATGTGTTTTCATGAATTTCTAACATATCTCTAATTTGTACAACAGTGTATTTTGCCAAATTTTTTTTTTTTCACTTTTTTTTTTTTTTAAAGAGCATTTAAAAACGCGTCCGTTCTCTTCAATAGATTAGCGCAACAACTAAAAGCAAGATCAAACAAATTAAATAAGTAAAATAACTAAATAAGAAAATAATAAAAAAAAACACAACTAGAAACAAAATATTAGGTTAAAAGTTGAAAAAATTGTTCGAAAATGAAAAGCAATAAAAAAAAAGTATTACAAACTTTATTATTAAGTTAAGTTTTTACAGCGAACTTTTTTTAATCAAATAATTCTTTAAATTCTCAGATTACTTATATTGTCATGTATATTTATGTACTGTCTAAATTGTTTTGTAAATTTGTATGTTGTTTATTTTGTTACAGTTGATTTTCGATATCTAGAACTTTTGTGTATTTGGAACTTTATTTTCAGTATCTCGAACTCTCGATACCTTGAACTCTCGAAATCTCGAATTTTTTTCCCGGTCCCCTGAGAGTTCGAGATACCTAAAGTCAACTGTATGTATTTTTGTGCGCTGTTTGCGTTGTGTTATATATATATATATATATATATATATATATATATATATATATATATATATATATATATATATATATATATATATATATATATATATATATATATATATATATATATATATATATATAGTGCCGCCGAGAGGGAAGGGTGACGGCTTTCGGCGGCCTTGTATATATATCATGTTTTTATTGTGCAATGTTTATATTGTCTTGTATTTATTATTATTTTAGTTTAGTTTGTTTGATATCGGTCAGACATTTTCAAAATTGTTTGTATTTTTAAAACTGTATATCTATGTATACATTAGTATGTTGACGATTAAGTGTAGTTCTCTATGCATATATACTGTATATCTATATATCGGTATATGTATTGTGAGACTAATTTGAGTTCAGCTGTCTCATCTTGTGATCTTAGTATTAATGGTTATTTTCTTTTAATTCGTAAAGACTCCAATAGTCACATGCTTGGCCTAGGCATTTACATTCGTAAGAATTCACCCATTTGTCGGGAAACTAGGTTTGAATCCACAGACTACTCTTTTATGTGCTTTCGTTTAGCACCACTTCACTCTATCACCTTTCTCTTTGTTCTATATCGCTCTCCTTCATTTCAAGACTGCACTCTTCTTGATGTTATTTCTGATTATATTGACCAAGCCCTCATTCTTTATCCATCAGCCAATATTGTTGTTGTCGGTGACTTTAATGTTCATCACACTGAATGGCTTGGCTCTAGTGTCAGTGACTCTGCAGGCATTAAGGTCCACAACTTTTGCCTTTCTCAATCCCTAACTCAAATAGTCAACTTTCAAACTCGCTTTCCAGACAACCTGAATCATTTACCTTCTCTACTCGACTTATGTCTTGTTTCTGATTCTAGTCAGTGCTCAGTTTCTCCACACTCACCCTTAGGTGCTTCTGATCATGGTTTGGTCTCTAAAACTATTATCTCATTGTTCTTTACCATCAGAATCCCCCTATCATTGTACATCTTACAACTACTTTAAAGTTGACTGGGACTCTTTTCGTGATTTTCTTCGTGATGGCCCCTGGGTAGAAATCTTTCGTCTTCCTGTTGACAAATGTGCTTCTTACATAACTTCATGGATTCAGGCTGGCATGGAATCCTTTATTCCCTCTCGACGATTCCAGGTAAAGCCTCACTCTTCTCCTTGGTTTTCCTCACATTGGGCTGCTGCAATTGCTAATCGAAACCATTACTTCCATATCTATCAGCAAAACAAATCTCCAGAAAACAGACGTCTGTTTATTACTGCTAGGAATCATTGTAAAAAGGTTTTGTCTAACGCCAAAGCCTGCTATTCTCAGATCGTGAAATCTCTTATTTCATCACAAAAATTAGGCTCTCGTGACTTCTGGAGAATCTTTAATAGTATCAATAATAAGGGCAAGTCTGTAATTCCACCTCTTTTGTTCAGACTTTGTCACCTCACCTAAGACAAAGCTGAATTGTTTGCCAAGAACTTTTCATCAATATCATCTCTTGATTCCATTAGTTGCTTTCTACCTGATATAGCCGTCAAACAGGTTGATCCACTGCTCGACATCTGTATCACTCCAGCTTCTGTATCAAAAGTAATTTCCTGCTTAGACTCTTCTACAGTTTGCGGCCCGGTCAACATACCTGTTATAGTCTTGCAGAAGTGTTCTCCGGAGCTGTCATCTATCCTTTCAAAACTATTTAACAAGTGCTTATCAGAGTCTTGTTTTCCATCCTGCTGGAAAGCAGCATCTGATATCCCTATTTTCAAAAATTCTGTAGAGCGATCTGATTCGTCTAACTACCGTCCCATTAGTCTTTTTCCTATCATAAGCAAGGTTTTTGAATCTTTAATTAACAAACACTTAATCTCTCATCTCGAATCTCATAACCTAATTTCTGATCATCAATATAAATTTCGATCTTCTTGTTCTACAGCTGATTTGCTAACAGTATTAACCAATAGATTTTATTGCGCATTAGATAAAGGTGGAGAGGTTAAGGCCATCGCTCTTGACATTTCTAAGGCGTTTGATAAAGTTTGGCATGCTGGTCTTCTCCATAAGCTTTTTTCTTACAGTGTATCTGGAAACATCTTTAAGATTATCGAATCCTTCCTTTCCAATCGTAGTATAAAAGTTGTCCTTGATGGACAGCACTCTTCTTCTTATTCTGTAACCTCAGGGGTTCCTCAAGGTTCAATCCTTGGCCCTATACTCTTTTTAATTTACATTAACGATTTTCCAGATATTCTCACATCTAAGGTGGCACTGTTCGCTGATGATACGACCATTTATTCTTGTCACGATAAGAAGCCAACTCTCTCTGATTGCTTGCAGGGGGCATCTGAGCTTGAAAAAGATCTCACTTCTGCTACAGCATGGGGCTCACAGTGGCTGGTGAACTTTAATTCAGATAAAACTCAATTTTTTTCGGCCAATCGTTATCGCAATAGTTTAGACCTTCCTATATTTATGAACGGTAATGTACTCGATGAGTCTCCTACTCTTCATCTTCTAGGATTAACTCTTACTTCTGGTCTTTCTTGGAAACCTTATATCAAATCCGTTGCAAAATTAGCATCTGCTAAAGTCGCTTCTCTTTATCGAGCTCGTCACTTTCTTACTCTGAATTCTATTCTCTATCTCTATAAATCTCAAATCCGGCCTTGTATGGAATACTGTTGCCATATCTGGGGTGGATCTTCTAATGATGCCCTTTCTCTTTTAGACAAGGTGTAAAAACGCATTGTAAACATAGTTGAACCTACTCTTGCAGCCAACCTCCAACCTCTGTCACATCGTCGTAATGTTGCTTCTCTTTCTCTTTTCTACAAATACTATAATGGGCACTGCTCTAAAGAACTAGCGTCTCTTGTGCCATCTACAAAAATTCATTCTCGTGTTACTCGTCATTCAACTAAGTCTCATCCTTTTTCTGTTACTGTTCCTAAGTGCTCCAAAAACTCTTATTCGTCTAGTTTTTTTCCTCGAACATCAGTTCTTTGGAATTCGCTTCCTTCATCTTGCTTTCCTGATTAATATAATTTGCAATCTTTTAAGTCGTCTGTCAATTGTTATCTTGCTCTACAATCTTCATCTTTTCTCTTCCAGTAACTTCTTACACTAATTAGTGGTTGCTTGCAGCCTTGTTGGAAGCGAAGTTGTTAAAAAAAAAAATATATATATATATAAATATATATATATATATATAATATATATATATTGTGCTAATAAAAACAACTTATTATTATTATTATTATTATTATTATTATTATTAGTAGTAGTATTATTATTATTATTATTGCTATTATGATTATTATATTATAGTCGTTTGTGCATCGTTAAGATTTATTGCAAGCAAAACTGTATTCGATGAAGGTGAAAATCTAACTATAACTTCCTTAGTATCACTCAATGAATATGAAGAGGTTTATCTTTTGATTTGTTATTACAATGAAGTGGCTATTGCTTTTACTTCATCTTTATATTATGAACTAAAGCCATATGCTACATCTAAATTTCAAGACAGGATCAATTCTTTAACTTATAATGGTACTAGATATGTTATTACAATTATGAACTTGCGTGCAAGTGATTCTGGTATTTATAAAACATTATTGTTAATAAGCTATCGGGGTACTATAATACCACGTGGATTAACGTCAAATATATCAGTCGAAGTTAAAGGTTTGTTTTAAATATAAGTTTATTTTTTTTGATACAAAATTTATTTTTTAAAGTAAAATGTAAAATATTTTTTTAATGTAAAATGTCCATAGATAAAAAATAAAAAAAATGAAAAAAGAAACACGAACCCTGACAAGCAAGGCTGCCGCGCGGAGAAACAAGTTGAGCGCGGTGCTACCATGGACGTGGTGGGTATATATATATATATATATATATATATATATATATATATATATATATATATATATATATATATATATATATATATATATATATATATATATATATTTATATATATATATATATATATATATATATATATATATATATATATATATATATATATATATATATATCAGTGGCGGATTGAGGTTTGGTGTCGCGGGGGGGCCAAGTCAATAAATAGGGGCGACCGGGGTTGCCTTCAGTAATTTAATCTTATATATATATAATTATCTATATATATTTTAATTGTTTTAGGGGGCGCCGTTAGACCGTTCTAGGGGTCTATATCTATATATATATATATATATATATATATATATATATATATATATATATATATATATATATATATATATATGTTGTTGTTGTATGATTTAGTATTTAGTATACTAAACTCTTGATCGTTGTATAGTGCTTAATATTTACGAAATATATATTTTTTCGAAAACAGAGCGTTTTATACTTAATTATAGAAAAAAGAACTTTTAATGGAACTTAAAGTTTCATGTTTATCGGCAATCATCAGCCACGAAGTACAAAATCTAAAAGATAAAAAATCGTATAAAAATTACAAACTACGGTAGAATGAGTTCTGACGTTTTAGTACAAGAAGACGTAATGGAAAACTAATCTCCGCTATCAAATAATGAAAGGAGAAATTTATTTTTGTGTCTACATTTAGAAACTACTTCGCCTCTTTTATTTAGCAGGTTATCTCCTTTGTAAAATAATATTTCAAATTTCTTATTTAAACAAAGCTTACAAATTTATGACGCAGGATTGTATGATTTACAGCGTTTAATTTTAGATGGTTTGCATAACGTAGCTTAAAAGAGGTTTCGCTTATCCCAATATATACCTTATCTTTGTATTGAGGTTTATTTGAGCTTACGGTAGCTTGGTAAACGATGTTATTAGACAAGCAATTGTTGTTCAGTCGACAAAGAGATTTTTCAATGCAATTGCAGGCTTTTTCTGGTAACTTTATATCACTATATAAAATATTTTTCTTGTGTGAGTTGATGATAGATTTAGTATTTGTCATGCAGGAGTAGCTTATTTTAATTGTGTTTCTGTTAAATATTTTGTATAGGTTGTGGTTTTTAGGAAAATGCTAGCCAATTAGGGTTAAAAAGTGTTGAACAGTTTTGGTTGTAACATTTTTACTAAATGGAGGATTGTACCAGATTATATTTCGTTTGTGGTTATTTTTTGGAATATTTTTTATGCTTGGTTTATATGCCAACTTATGTGTATTTATTTTGATTGTTTTAGTGCGTCTTCATAAAGATGTGTCGATTTATTGAAAATAACTTCACTTAATGAGTTGGCGGACAATCTTAGCTCGATATTTTTTGAACGATTGTTTATTATGTTAGGTGGATGGTTAGAATCAGCATGTATATAACTTAGCTTATTATCAGGCTTGCAGTATGGTTGGAATGAATTTTGAGTAAGATTAAAAGTGAAATCAAGGTAGTTAAAAATTTTAACATTGCAATTGATAGTGATGTTGAGATTTTTACGTTTAAAAACTTGAACAACATTCTTTTTTATTTGTTCCATTTGATGGCCATTTTTGTTCTTAAAAACAGCTAACCCGTCATCTCGATATAAACCGAAATCATTTTTGTTGTAAAACTGCGAAAGTTTATCTAAAATAAAAATATCGACTAGTTCGCAAACTTCCGCGCCATCATAGGCTCCCATGGTAATTTCAAACAATCCTATTTTTTTCTTAATCCAAGATTTTCTTGTATGACGTATAATGGATTTGCTTTGCTCATCTATTATTATATGTTGTTCGGCGAAAGTAATAGCGTTATTAAATATGTTTTCAACAATTGACTGATAAAAATCATTTATGTCAAATACTAAAAATTTACAAAGGTGTTTATCATCAATTTTTCGGAATCAATTTATTACATTCTGCGTATTTTGGTTGTCATTGGTTCAAACCGGTTTTTTATATTTTTGATTTTGTACTTCATGGCTGATGATTGCCGCCCAGTAAACATTTGGACGTCCACTAGACGTACATTGGACGTCCGTTTCGGACGAACGGACGTCTGTTTTGGACGTCCTTAGACGTCTAAACTAAGTCCAAATGCAACATGTTTCGTCCGTCCATTTTGGACCTTAATGGACGTCTGTTTTAGACTTAAATTAGATAAATATTTTAGGTCTACAGACGTTTACAATACGTCCATATTAAAGAAAAAGAAACGTTAACGCCCTTAAAAACCCTTACAATGGACACTGGGACACGTTTTTTAGCAATAAATAAGTATAATTTGTATAAGGGAAAAAGAATGTTTTTGACAAAAAAGAAGATACAAGTAAACAGAATTCAATTTATTGATAGATCATATTTTACAAAAAAGGCATAAATTTTACAATATAAATTTTTCTTATAGTACGATACTCATGTTAAATAGTTGCAATTTTTTGGGCGATTTCGAGGTTGCACGTTTCATCAGATCACCAACTAGTCCTTCAATATTGCGCGCTTCCAAACCACCTTTGTCATATATAACTGCATCTAAAAGGAAAGTCAAAATTACCTTAAATAATGTATATATATATATATATATATATATATATATATATATATATACATACTTTTTTTCGTGGTACCTTTCTCGACTCTTTAACTCCGAAACACGAGCCTTGAGCCGCTGTGCGGAGAAACTAAGTTGATCGCGGTACTTCCAGGGACGTGGTAGGAGTTAAGCTCCAAACCTCTCGCTTACAAAGCGAGCGCTCTTCCCACTACACCAATACTGCATTGCATATGAGTTGAAATAGAAAAATACTTTTATTGTCAGTATGAATGAATTTATTAGGCCATAAATTAAAAAAAGATTATATAATAACTAATAAAAATACTTTTTGCAGGATAACTTTAAAGTGCACTTACGTTAATTCAACATTTTATTAAATAAGGACCTACTTTTTAAGGCTTCTTATCCAGTTTAGAACTAGTTGCTTTATCAGTTTTGAGACGACATAGAATGTGTGGAGTTAAAATTAACCACTATACTAACCACTTGCTGACTGTTTTAAATAATTTTTTTTTTCTAAACGACAAAATTATTATGTTACAGAGAAAGTACATTAATATAATCTGGGAAATATTTACAAAAAATTTGACATAATTATATTACAAATCTTTATCTTGTTAAAAAATGAAGAATCTGGTTACAAGTTTCTAATGTGTCAGAATCCAGCATATTCAACAAAGTCAATTTCTTTCAATCATTGTCTTATAACAACTCATACTGAAATATACACACTATATCTCACACCATTTTAAGGGAAATATGAAACACAACTGTTTGACCAACTGGGTTGACCCAACAAAATGGTACTATTTTTTTGTGTTAGTTGATTTTTTTAGATATATTATATGTATAATATATCTAAAAAAAATATTTGTATTGTTTACAATAAAAATTATATTGTAAACAATATAATTTATATTGTTGTTTAATAACAATAGCTGCATACTCTAAACAAAAGCAGTAGATATATATATATTTATATACAAACATCGAATTCTTAAGTCAATGATTACTAAACACAATTTATAATTGAATAATATAATATTTATAATTGAATAATATATAATATTTATATATATATATATATATATATAATATATAATATTTATATATATATAAATAATATATAATATATTATATTTATATATATATATAATATTATATAATATTTAATATTTATAATATATAATATTTATATATATATATAATAATATATAATATTTATAATTGAATAATATAATATAATAAATATTTAAACAATCACAAATTGAATAAACTTGCTATGAATAAAGATACTATTTTGACATTTCAGTATTGTTCTGGGTTTAAAATTGCTATAATTTATTTATAGTAATTTTAAACTGAGTTTATGCATAGTATATTAACCCTTTACTTTAGTAAGTTACTATTTGTAACCCGTTTAACTATTTATAACCCGTTACTAAGTAACGAGTTACTAAACAAGTATTTCGGAAAAAATGAGTAGTTAAGGAGAGGTTTAAAGAAACGGAAACATTTAGCCAAAAAATAAAAATAGATTCCATTTACTGTTAAAGCTTCTTTTACAATAAGTAATAAAAAAACTAAGTTTCTTCTGTTACAATACTTAATGAAGAATCGTGACAACTTTCTTCTTTTTGCAACTTTGGTACAGCCCGTTTTAACAAATCACCAACAAGTCTTTCAATATCGCTCCCTTCAAAACCACCTTTGTCAGATATAAGTGCAGCTAAAACAAAAATTACATCAAATTTGTAATAATGTATGTATGTATATATATATATATATATATATGTGTGTGTGTGTGTGTGTACATATGTATATATATATATATATATATATATATATATATATATATATATATATATATATATACATATATATATATATATATATATACATATATATATATATATATATATACATATATATATATATATATATATATACATATATATATATATATATATATATATATATATATATATATATATATATATATATATATATATATATATATATATATATATATATATATATATAAATACATATATATATATATATATATGTACATATGTACACACATATCTTATACTGCTGAGTTAGGTGAGCATGATGATGTCATATTCACCTAGTGTCAAATAGCCTGCTGTCGGGGGCTTCAGTACATACATTGACTGACAAATAGCCTGACTCGCAGTGGAGTGCTGCTACATCGACTGAGGGTTTGGTATGGGTCAGCAACCTTTTCATTCATTATTTTTCGTTTTTCCTCATCGTTTTCTAAAAACTCTCACTTAAATTAGGCTAGCAAAAAAAGTGAGCAATTGCGCATATAAATATGCTATAGTAGATATGTGTGTACATATGTACACACACATATATATATATATATATATATATATATATATATATATATATATATATATATATATATATATATATATATATATATATATATATATATATATATATATATATATATACATACATACATATGTACACACACAAACACACACACATATATATATATATATATATTAGGGTGGTCCATAAAACAACTTTTTTGAGAAAAACCTGCTGACACCCCCTAAATGTGTTTTATCTAATGCAAAAACACTAGGTTTAAAATTTTTTTGAACAAAAATTATTTTTAGGGGTAGCTCAAGGCCCTCAAAAATTTGACGGGTCCCTAATATTTTGAAAAAAAAACTTTTTCTAAAGTATGTCAACCTGGTACTCAAAAGAAGCGATATTGTATAAAAACTTCAAAAATAATAATCATTTTACATAAAAAAACATGCCTAAAAAAAATTATTCTCAAAAAACCTGAAAATATTGACTTTTTTTATTTTCAGCTTAAAAACAATAGTTTTTATGCATTTATACCTAAAAAAATTATTTTTATAAAAAATTATTATCATTTTTAAATTTTTTATATAATTTTGCTTATTTTGAGTACCAGGTTGACATACTTTAGAAAAAGTTTTTTTTTCAAAATATTAGGGACCCGTCAAATTTTTGAGGGCCTTGAGCTACCCCTAAAAATAATTTTTGTTCAAAAAAATTTTAAACCTAGTGTTTTTGCATTAGATAAAACACATTTAGGGGGTGTCAGCAGGTTTTTCTCAAAAAAGTTGTTTTATGGACCACCCTAATATATATATATATATATATATATATATATATATATATATATATATATATATATATATATATATATATATATATATATATATATATATATATATATTTAAATAAATATATATAAATAACATTTGTAGAATATTTTTAATTAATGCTTAAAAATTAAGGGTGAAATGGGACAAAAACTTACTTTTTAAACATTTATAAAGTGCTGTACTTAGAAATTTCCGCTTTCCTTTCAACCCATCTTTTGCTGAAACAATTTTGCACGCTGCGCTCTAATACACAATCTAGCACACTCTTAATAGTTCTCCGCGGAGTTGGTCCACCCACACTTCTAATCTGACAAATCTATACACAAAAGTAAAATATAAACAATTATATAAAAGTTCTTTATCTTAAATGTATTTTATTCCTCCATAATAATTGAATAGAAATGGTATCTTCAACCGATTCAAAGAGTTTTTTTTTTGTGTAATATTTACCACACTTGTGTAGTTTGGATAGTTCTTCATAATGACATCTAAATGCCATTATGAAAGAGTTGAAGCAATATTTTTTAACCGGATGCCCTTCCTGACATTAACATGAAGCAAATTGCACTTGATTACATGTCACCAGTAGCAGGATAACCTTACTTAACGTAAGGATAACCTGAGATTACAACCAGAAAAACAAACTATCCATTATGACACAAGTTACAAAGGTGCCTAAAGAAAACGCTATTTAGCAAAAATTATTTAAAAACAAAAAACAGTAATTTAAGGATCTATTAAAAGGAAATTAAAATATACCTTCTGCAACCTTGCTACTTTACTTGAGTTTAACGTATTTTCCTGTTCATCAAACTTCTCCAACGAGTCAATAGGCTTCATAATTACATCTGCTTCAATTGTGTCATTTGATACTCCCATTACACTAACAAAATTGCTTTCTAATAAATCTAAGCGGTCAATAATCTTTTTTTGATTTTGCTTGATCAGCGTAAATTCATTTGTCAACTCTTTAAAAATTGCATACTGAAATTCTAATAATCATTTAATTATTGCATATTATTTTTGAAAACTTTAACTTTTCTCATATACTAAATCAAAAATGTTATAATGGAATATGTTTTTAAAGGTACGTGTTTTATTTTTAATGTAATGAAACAAGCACACAAAAAATAGTAGGTACACAATTTTAGATTGTAAGTCTTTTATTGTCAGAATGAACAGGGTATTAAAACGAGCAATAAATATGTAACATAAAAAGAATGTATTACAACTAAAAAAAAAGACTTATTGGTAACCTTTAACTTACGTTTATTTGACATTTCTTTAAATGAGGAACCACCATCACCCACTTTTGAAGGCTTCTCAAACAAATTTGTGGTTTTACAAGAATGATCTTGTTTGAACAATGATGCAATATTTAATTTCGAAGACGTTGCAGGCGTTTCCAAAATATCACTAGGTGTAAAACGTTGAGAAGACGATGTAGGACTGGACCCAAAATCTATCACTGGACTTGCAGCTCTTTTATTCATTTTAATTTTTTGTATTGCTAAATAACAAATAATTCATGTTTAAAAAAATGTACATTTATATGTTCTGGAAAACATTTATAAAATGATTACATAAATTTTCAGCCTCATCTTCAGTTTGAAAATGTAACATCTGGTTACATGTTTCTAATGTTCCAGAATCTAATATGTACTCAACAAACTCAAATTCCTGCCACCCTGGTTCTGGTACAGCCCATTCTGCAATATACATACCAACTGCCTTGTACCCTTTTGGGGGAAAATAAACAACAGAACTATCCGAGTCAACCCAGTGAGCTGGAACTACTGTTTTGGTTGGTTGGTTTTTTTCAATAATCACAACAGTGCTGTAAAGTCTAAAGAAAAATATTTATTAAAATTTTATATTTATTAAAATTTTTTTTTAGAATTAGTATGTTAGCTTTCTACCACAGCTTAAAACACAATTTTAAAACAATATAAAAAATTTTTAAACAATTAGTTTTATAAAAATATGCAACTCAGAACAATAATGAAATGTCAAAACAGCATCGCACTCCAAATTTATGTATTTTTACTTAGGGTTAGTGATTTAACAAACTGTTAGAGCTGGAAAATTAGCTCCGAAAACTATAACTTAGGAACTGAGATATTAAATCAGCTATGAACACAAATAAACAATTTTATTATCATTTAAAATTTGCACTATTTAATAAAGGGATAACAACTCGATCATCTTCATGCATCAAACAAACACATTTTCTTAATACAATGTCTACATCATCTATTTTCTCTAAAGGATGTTTGTCTTTTTTTATGACGAATATGTTTAGTTTATTAGAATCAATAAAATCTATGAAAAAATTATCTAGCTCAGTCTTTTTAAAGGCATTGTAAACCAATCTACCATTTGGTAAAATTTCTTTTATAAAGCAGACATAATTTTTGCTAAGAAACCAAGAGTTTTTAGCACAATCAAGTTTTGTTACATGAGTAGAGTTTTCTTGTAATGTTCCCTTCAACTCATCAAGTCTTTTTATAATTTCTTTTAATGGATTTCTTTTACCGCGCACTAGACGCTTTATAGTTTGCAAATAATTTTCAAATCGAAAACAAGAATAAGCATCAAGAGGCAATTGAAAATATTCAACATCATCAGGAAGATGTTTCAGATTATGAATACAGTAAACGGTAAAGGTATTACC